AGGGGAAGGTTATTTTCACTTCCCTTTTTACGCACCTCTGCGTCTCCCACTTGCTTCTTGTCAATTTTTTAGAAACGAATTTTTTTATCTGACTTTAAGTAAGTATTCACAAATGAAAACAGTTGAGAGAAACTTTATTTCATATTTTATAATCGCATAAAATCCTGAAAACGAGTCGACCAAATTCATTGTTGCACATTTACAAGATGATAGTGTTATTTTTCAAGATTGCTTGAAAAATTAATCAGTATTCTCAATTACAGTTGGTTGTATTCTTGATATACTATGTGATGAAACAGATATGTTAATATAGTGAATTTTTAAAATAGCCTTATGTCTTTTTATAGCTTTTATATAGCTTTATTACACCTATACGTTTTTTACTGGAGTTTAATCTCTTATCACATTTACAGGATATTACTCAGCAGCTTATGGTGAACGAAACCGCTGTAGTTTTGAACGAGCAGTGTGCTAGATTTCACATTTTTGCATCACACCGTCTTTGCAAACTTGATTATAACGAATTTGATCAAAAGATGAATACAGGTTGATATTTTTATCTAAAGTTGATATTAATTCATTCAGATTATTTACTCCATGGGTCGTCATTAGTTCTGTGATGAAATTTAATATTAGTTGACGTTTATAAAAAATTTTCTGGCGTGGGTTGAACACTGACTCTCTCATATTTCCCTTTTTACAAGACTTATTGTATTCGAACTTTAACTAGTTCTGTTTATTTTCTTCAGAAGTAGTCTTCTAAGTTTCTTGCTGTTTTTAGAGAACTTGTCGAAGTGTTTGCAAAGTTTACGCCATCTTTACGAAGATCTTGGTAAGAAGGGGATTTATTGTAAATCAGAGGCTGAATTCCGTGGATATGACATAATGCTGAACCTTGCTGACTCCTACATTTCGAGGTTACTATACAATTTTTATGAAATACTGAAGATTTTCATTGTGAAAAAAATTTACTTCTGTATATCGGTCAAGATTCTTTTGTTGAAGGTCATTTCAACTTTTTTTCGTTTGTTTCAGGCAAGTACTTGCGTATAGACCTGAAATTCGCGTATCTGCTCCAGTAAAGCTGGCTTTACAGCTGTTTGCTAGTTTTCAGAGTGGTAATTACAGAAGATTTTTCAAACTTTTGAAGGAAAAAGCTGACTATCTTCAGGTGAATTGGAATAAAATTTTGCAGATGGTTATATTTTTTCCGCTGAGAAGGTAGTTGCTTTGCTCTCGAAGTAGCTTTTAACTCACAAGACCTGCTTCATTCTCATCAAGAATTTACATTTCTTACGGTATTCGTCAATCTTTGAGTGTTGACATCGTTTTTTTCCATAAAAACATTTGTCGGTGTTCCAAAAACCCTTCTGAATGTAGTTTTAGATTAAAGTGATATAGGAAGAGGATAACTTTAAAAATAACCATTTGAGGCATTAAAGCTTATATTTAGCAATTATTTCTTTTAGCTTTGTTGAACACTTAATGAAATATAACTGTGTCTTTATCTTTTTTCATAAATCTTTAGCGTATTGTAAAAAGGCTCTGCTCAATATACGAATTAGTTTATGACCAGCCATTGTCGTCACAGTGTCTGTTAGTCTTTTTTTTTTACTGTGTATGAATTCTTTTCGACCTCCGCAAAAATTAGCTGCAGTATTTATTGTTTTGTGTATAAATTTAAGAAATATTAATGCAATAGAAATATGGGTTTATTTCAAGTTTCAGTTTCCAAATATTTAAGGTTTATGATCCTTTGTAGCAATTTTCACGTAAAGCGTCTTCAAAAACCACTAACTGGTTTTTTGGTTTGGTTCCTACATAGACATTTTTTGCTTTTCTTGACCTTGAGCATAATTTTGACTTTGGCTAGAGGCTTCACAGTACTTAGCAGTTTAATAGGTGTATTTCTTTTGTTTTACTTATTCAGTAATCTTTTCTCTTTTAGTGTTGTATATGTCATCGTTACTTTCCTGAATTTCGCGAGCGTAGTTTGTCGACAATAGTTGAAGCATTCACCGCAAGTGGATCGGCATCTGCAAAAGTTGATTTTTCCTTTGTAAAATTAGTTATAGCTTTGTACGATGACATTTAATTTTTTCATTCTGACAATTCTCGTTAGTATATATAATTAGCACTGGTTTTTATTAAAGTAATTGATTAGAGAAGTGAGAGCTTTTTTAATGGGATTAAAGTATATTGATTATTCTTTGCCATCTTAATTGAAACTTCATTATCATTTGTTATAACAGCAATTTCAGTTCCCACTTGGTAAGCTTTCGGGCTTGCTTGGTTTTGATGGTGACGAGCAAACACGTGAGGTTGCTGGATTTTATGGATTTGACTGTAAATTTGACTCAGATGTCAAAGAGGAATTTATATTGTTGTCGAGAAGCGAGTTTATTCAACGGAAAGAGCGTTTAATTCTAATGCATTCATGGATTGAAGACAAACGTTCATTTTTACCTCTCTCACTGGTTCATTTTAAAATATCTTTGTCTTTTTCTGTAGAATATATTCAATTTACAGCTCACTGTTTCTTATCTGTTTTTCATCTTTCGATTTACCTTTTAGCATTCTATATTTGAACTTTAGTATGGAAGACTGATGTTTCTTGAAGTTTTTTGTTTCTGAGTAATTTTTTTATTCTAGGTTCTTAGTGGTGGCAGTGATGTTGCAGTGGAACGTTGGAAACCTGCAGTTTCATTTCAAGATGGTGTTTATGTTGACGACCCAGTGGTTAATGAGTTCATTTCTCAAGCATCATTGTTCGAGTAGTTTTTCACTCACTTGATGTTGCTTAGTTTCATTTATGCTTATCCTGGTTCTTTTGATGAAAAAAGTTTTTTTTATCTAAAAGCAAGAATTTTTTGCTAAATCAATAGTGTCTTTGCAAGTAGAGGATTTTCTTGCTAGTTTTTTTAGATTATTCTTTTAGTTATTGTTTTATAAAAGTGTAGAATTAACATGTTATCAATGTTTTACTTACTCGTTAGCGCAAGTGAATCAAGTTATCTAGTTCAAGAATGTCAAGGAGAGACAATGAGGGCTTTCTTTGCAAGGTTTTTTCAAGGACTGACGGGGTTACAGTCAGAAAGCCAGTGATACTTTTTATTTCTTTTGCCAAGACAAAAGGTTAAAAAAATAAATAGTCATTTTTCTGCAAGATAGCTACTGTGTCATTCATTCTTCTAAGTGGTGAATATAAGTTTATAATCCATTTTTGAATGGGATTTGAAAGTCTAGAATAAGTTTCTTAGCACAATTCATCCTGGATGGTGCTAGACAATTTATCGTTACTAAATTTAGGCCTTTAGATGAAATTTTTATTGGCTTGTCTTGATTTTCTTGAATAAGTGTTTGTTTCTGTTTTCTCCTGTATTTTAACTGTTTATTTTTCTGTTTGGATTGGAGTATCTGGCAAGGGTCTCTTGATGGCTTTACAGATGTGTACAACTTTCAATTTTTTCAAAATTTTTTCAATGCGGTTCTGCCATAATTTGTTCCTCCGATTGAAGTCTACAACGACTTCCTTTTGAAGGCTCTGCAGATTCGTTTTTTAGCCTTTTTCAGAAATTTTTTTCTTTCTAAATTCGATTTCAGAAACTTAGAACAGTTCTTTGCTGTTTATTATGATCTTTGCCATAAAGTTAAGTATCTCCTATCATTTAACTAATTTAGAAGTTTATTTAACCAATGTAATGGCTTTCTTGCAGCGATTTGAGGTCGTGCAGAAGCATTTTTTTCAAAACATTTAGAGTCAGAACTAGTGGTGTAGATTCTGAAGGTTTTTAAAAAAGTTTGGTGTGATTTTGGTAAAGTAACTAAGATTGCAGTCTGTTGGATAACGATGATGACTTTTCAAATTTTTGAACATTTTCTTTTCTCGTTCTACAACTGGGAAGATTTAGGGGCATAAATTATGAGGGAGAGGGTTTATAGAAGTCTGAACTTTTTTGCCTTACAGCTGGGTGGAATCCAGTGCTTGTCTTAATTTTACTCGCTTTCAGAGATGATCAGGATCATACGACAGATCCAGAATTTCCTAGTTCCCAAGAAGAGGGGAGTGAATACCACACAGTTGAGGAACTGGAAGATCATGTAACTTTTTGCTACTTTCTTTAACTGTCTTCTAAAAAATTTTACTTTCTTACCTTCAGGCAGACGGTCTGCTGAAAATCGTTATTTGTGAAGTATTGGAGGCAGAAACTTTGAACACAGTAGTAGGAACATTGAAAGATTCCCTAATTGACGCTGCAGCATGGCAACTTGTTGATAATGCGATTGAAGAAGCGTTTAGGTATAGATTAGTTAAAAAATTCTCTCATTTAGATATTCTTTTATTCAATTGACAATTTTAGAGCTGTTTGTTGCAACTTTTTCAAAGTATGCGAATCTAAGCGTCAGATGGATACCGCTCGTAATATTTTTAATGAAAAAAGAGGAATTGTCTTATCATTGACTGGCACATTGATGGAGTGTATAGTCGACGAAGCGCTTATGAGTTTTTTACGCACCACTGGAAAGCACTTTTTTTGGTCAGTTGCTACCTTTGTTTTCATGAGCCGAATATAGCCATTTATTTTGAAATCTTATTTTTACAATAGCTAAAAAATTTCAAAAAATTTTCCTTTTTTCTTGGACTAACTTTCTTGG